CCTTTCATTATTTATCTGAGGGAATCAGAGAGTTTTTGTTCTCCCACAAAAGTCCCTGACACCAGGATATTTTTAATAGCTGAGATTTTTCATTCTTGTCACTGCGCCTTTTGAAAGCGCAGGTATTTTCATACAACACGCAGCTAATGAGTGAAACTTCAGAATCCAACCTTCCCCCGTAATCACGGCGCGGGGCCGAGGCGGCCCCACCAGCGAGGAACATGGAAATTAATTATTGAGCTCCTGTTTTATCCCCTCATCTGTTTGATATTCTGCAGCACAGAAGGAGCCAGACAATTAAATCGCTCCTCCCTCTGTCGAGTCGTGGCGCCCCTGCACCTTTCCCCCCCACCCCGGAGGCCGGGCCCTGCCTGTCTGCAAAGGGTAGATCGTGGGAAGAGGAAAAGACAGAGACCAGGGTAAAAAGAAGAAAAAAAATTTTTTTTAAAAAGCAATTCTGTTTTCTTCCACATAAGGATTTTTGCAGAGCCTTCGTAAAATGCCCCCCTTCTGACTGTGGTTATTTTAAATGTCTTTTTGCCCTTTCGTCGCTGGAGCCGGAGGCTCACAGGAAAGGGTCGGAGGTGGTGGCGTGTGCGCCGTCCCCACACCCCTTAGATGCGGCCTCTGTGGAGGATCCTCCCTTCCCCATCATTCTGTGATCGCCTCCTGCTTCTCGGATAAATATATAAAACCTCCTAGCCACTAGTGGAGATAGTTGAATCAATTAATTTGTTTTATTGAACAATAAAACTGTCATTCTCTAAACTAGGGTGATTACATCTGAAGCCAAGGGTGGTTTTCAAGCACATCTGATCCCATGTTTCAGGGAGTGTGGTGAGCGCATGTGTGTGCATGTGCACACGTTGTGTGTGCCTGAGCACACGTGTGTGTGCACGTGTGTGCACGTGCCATCACACTTTGGGCTCAACTGGTTTTGTTTTGCTTGAGATGCAGCTAAAGAAGAGAGCCAGATGGCTTGATAAGGCTCAGAAAAAGTGGCTCTTGTGCCTTCCGCCTCCTGGGGTAGGACCAACATTAGGGGCCGTGCTTCCTCTGCAGAGCTCAGAAAAGCCAGGGTTTCTGTGCATGTGGATTCCTCCGGGGAGAGGGAATTTGCTTTGATCAGTTTCAAAAGGGGGCCTGTGATCCCTCAAACCTTAAGGACCTTGGGCCAGCGCTACCTCCATGCTTATGTGGTTCTGCAGTGTAGACACAGTGCCAGGCTCCAGGGCTTGGGGTCAGAGGTCAGAGATCATAGTCCAGCCTCTTTCTGTCACCCCGCATGGTCTCCCAAAGGGTGAGAGAAGGGCGATCCTTCTGGCTGCAAACCCCTATTGCTTAGCAGTTCCAACGTGACTTACTGATTAACTTGAGAAATCAGATTTTAGATGAAAACTCCTTTTCCCATACTTTGCAGCTGGTTTTTAAATGAACATTTAGGAATCATTGATATTTGCAATGCAGCAACATTTACACTCATTGACTATATATCATGACATAATTTGGAGACGAATTCTCAATTTCATAAACAAGTGCAGTACAGACAAGGCTAAGGGGATTGCACACACACAAAAGGTTTTCTCCTACCTCCAAGACAATCGTTTCCTTCTCTGTCTTTCCACCAAAGAGTTTCACAAACAGAATCTACGTTCCTGTGTCCAGTGCATGTATTTATTTAAGCCTCCACTCTAAAGCTGGGTTCTCTGTCCTCTCTGGAGAAACTTCATCATAAATCGACACCAAAATCCACAAAGAGCAGAGAGCTCATGTTTAAAACACAGTTATGATCTGCAGCACCAAAAAACCAAAAAGCCAAAAACAAACCCTGAAAACAACATACACAGTGTTTAAGTGCACTTCTACTCCTAAACCACCCGGGCCTTGCAGAATGCCAATGCCTCGTTTATGAAAACATGGGATGAGGAGGGTGGTGAGGCAGTGCAGTGACCAGCTTTCAGAACAGAGAGGGACAGTCATACACCTGTGTCACAGACTCGGGCTGTGGGGGCTCAGCATGGCTGCCTCCCAGGATTCCCCTACACCCTGTCTTGCCCGAGCCCCGTGGGGCTGGATGCAGGGCCCCCGGCACTGGGACAGCATCTCTGTGCCTCCTCTGAGCAGCGAGCACAAGGCTGCTGCTCTGGCTCCGCAGCCCCTGCCCTGCCCGCTGGGGATGGTCGGTCTCTAAGGAGGAGCCTTTCCGTCTCTCGGCGGTTATTGATCATGCACTGAAAGCTTTTATGGAAGGGCAGAAAGAGAACCGACCTGGTGGAGAGCCAGTGGTGGCACTTTACAGTCATGATCTTATTTAATATTTACAACAGCCACCGGGAAGGGAGGTGACACTATTCTCCAGAGAGGGAAAGAAACTGTCTCCGGGTTTGCTGGTCCTTGTGCAGCTGGCTGCACCTGGCTGCCGCCTCCCGGTTTCCAGGGGCTGCTGTGGCCCCCAGGAAGACAACCCGGCACCTGGGGCCTGGCTGGGGTGTGGGATTCTGGAGCACCCCCCTGGCCACTCTGCAGAACCTGTGCTCGGCAAGCCTCGCCCCACTGCCCTCCTCACAGCGCCCTGTGTCTGCTGCAAACACGGATGGCATTTAAGACTTCCCTGTGCACGGACGCTGGACGTTCCTCCCGTGCACATGTGTGCATGCACTCACACCATCCTGCTCACTCACAGGCTCTCAGACACACCTGTACACATGCACAAGCCCCCAAATGCAACACCACACACCCTCATATTCTCTCTCTCTCTCTCACACACACACACACACACACACACACACGCACACACAGGCAAAGGTCACCCACACTCATGCACTCACATTTCCACTCTCCCACCTCACTCTTGCACTCGCTGTCACACTGCTATTTGTCTCTTTCCTGGTTTTATGCCCCCCCCAAACTGAAGCCCCTTCACCCCACCCAGGTGTAGGGGCGCATGGCACGGTGCTGGCTCCTGGCAGGCGGTTAGTGTAGAGTCATTAAACGTGAGTGAATTCGTGGGTGCACCTGGGCCCTGGGCACGGGGGCTGGGGAGGGTGGGGGGAGGAAGACCCCGAGGGCTGTGCTTTCCGTGTGGGGGAGGGGCCGCCCACCCAGCACGAGCGTTCCAGTGAGCTGTGTGGGCCCTTCCAGCCTGGCCCTCGCTTCCAGGTGTCACTTTCCCTGCCTAAGTGTCCCTTCTCTCCACGAGGACCAGGGTTGGAAGGGACCAGGAGAGGGAGGCACACGTGTGCACACACATCCATGCTCCAGGTACTAATTCTTCAGGGTAGAGGGTGTACACTCTTCTGCTGCTTCCAGAATGGAAGGGCCTTTCCAGAGGCCTGCGGGATCCCAGTTCTAAGGACCGTGTGACAGTCCCAAGGAAGAAGAATCGCCTGCACCCAGGCAGCACGTGCTCTGTGAATCCTGGCTAAATGCACACACAGGGGACCGGAAAGGGACCTGGGAGACATGGCCCCCTGGCCATGGTCTCACCTGCCCAGCCCCCGTGTCCCCAGCTGCCATCCCCCTCGGGACTGTGTGGGAGGCAGGGCAGCTAGTCCCAGAACCTGCTGGACGCTGCAGGGCCCGGGAGCACAGTGGGCCAGAGCCTCGGTCTGACCTTATCCTCACCTGCACAACGTCAGGTGTGCCCCCCACCTCAGGTGTGGCTTGAAATGCACCTTCCCTAGGTACAGACCCTGGACTCTCCCGCGCTGGCTGCAGCAGGAGAGGCCCCATCCCGCCACACAGTCACCCCGCGTGTGCACACGCAGCCTCTGTGCTCAGGGCTCCCGTGGGCTGACCCGGCAGGCTGGGCGCGTGTCCTTGGTCCTGGGAAGGGCAAAGGGTGGTGGAGCCCCATTGTCCAGGAGAAAGTGTATCAGAAATGTTTTAGGGCACCCAACGGCATAAATGTGCCTTTAGAAATACATTTCTGGTGTATCAAAGGACTAAACTCACTGCTCATAATCAGTTCTCTTAAGCCGAAGTGATATATTTGACCTAAGGGGCCATAGTGGCAGAGGAGAAGGGCCCAGGCTGGGAAGGGACACCAAGGCTGGTCACTGTGCTCATCAGATGGGGTTTGGGGTGTCAGGGGCCTGCCCCAGCTCCCACGGTCCCCAGGAGGCCCCTGGCTGGCTGCTAACAGGAATCCGCTGCCTCCGCAGCCCAAAGGCAGAGTAGTTTTGCTGTATCACGCTTCAGACGAGAGATTGGAAATTTCACCTTTTAGTGGGATATGTTGGCTTTATGCACAGCTAGCCGCAGATCTAAGACTGTCATTTAAATTTATTACCTGAACCGGAAGCGTGAGGAAAGGAAAGCTTACAGAGACGCCCGCTATATGAAGGAGAGTCACTGGTGATCGCCAAGTGCTCTAGCCCGTCCTGCTGCACAGACGCTGGTCTTCACGGGTGTCACACCAGTTTGCAAGAGGACAGTCCCAGGCAGGTCGCCCAGAGCTGTGCGTGGTCCCGGGCAGCAGGAATCCCACGGGGTCTCTCCTCCAGCCTGCCTCTGCGTCCATCGGCCTCTCGTTGAGGTGACAGGGACCAGGGAGAGAGGACTTTCGCTGATAGAAATATCAAGAAAGAGGTGATGGAACGAATTGAGAAATTAAATTGTAATAAATTACCAAGGCCAGATGGTATTCATCTGAGAGTTGTAGAGGGATGAAAGACTGAACTAGCTAAGCAACTAATAAAAATATATAATTTAGCCTTTAAAACGGCAATGACCACCAAAGGATGGCCAGTTGTGGGCCATCCACAGAGCAATCACAGGCCACGGTCAGCATGTGAGCCTTTTAATTATTGCACAGTTGATTCCTCACACCCATGACATATACAGAAATGCCCCTGAGTTTGTGTGCTAATAACTTGGAAAAGATGATAAATGTTTGTATGGAAACCGCGCCAAATTATT